TATATATGTGTGTGTGTGTGTGTGTGTGTGTGTGTGTGTGTGTATGTATATGTATGTGTGTGTATGTGTGTGTGTGTGTATATATATATACACACACATACATACACATATATACATACATACATACACGGTTTGTACCAAAAGCCAGGCTCTATAGACAAAGTTAGGCCCCATAGACAATATATAATATAAATTACATTAAATGTTCAAATTGGTTGCCATTTTCTTCTAAGCACCTCCTTTCTCATTTGATGTATGACCTTTGAGCATTCCTAAGTACAGTACAGTAACATTTTCTCTGAAAAAATATGAATTAATGAAATATATTGTGATTGGCCTATGAGGCCTGGCTTTTGGTATACACTATATAATTCAGGTTTCCCCACAGAAGATTTTTCATTACATCAAATGGCTGAATGGTACCCTTTAAAGGCTCTCTCAGACTTACTGCAGTCTGCCACATGAGGAAACAGCAGAATGGATGGATAACAGAGAGTTCCCTTCTTCTAAACCTTTAGTGTTAATCCCTTGGAGGATGGGCAATTTCCACGGGCAGCCACAAAGGAAACGTTCCTCAGCTGTCAGAATACGTTCTGCTTTTGTTAGTAAGGAAGGAAAGCTTAAATGGAAATCCGTGATACGAATGTACAACCAACTGTGACCACTGAAATCGCTACAAAGGAAATTGTGAGGTAAAGATTCTTTGCTTCATTTTTTAATTTGCAAATATGAATGTACAGAACATTTTACATCACAGTATTTCCATGTGTTGGCCAGCTGTTTCTAATCCCATTCTTTCCTGTACAGCTCTTTCATTTTAAACAAGATGCCATGTATGGAAGTTTCCCGCCAAATACTGCATATATGCATATGTTTTCGACAGGTAGCACCAGCAATAAATTTCACACCTATCTTTCCTGCTCTTCCTTATCCTCAGCAAGTGTTTTGCAGCGGGCAAACTGCTCTCGCGAAAGAATAAATCAGACAAATGGAGACTCTTACTTTAATAACACTGTCAGATGCTAAAATTCAGCCTTAATACAGTCCACAGCTGCTGTCCGACATGATGGAAGCACATCCACTTTGCTCTCTATATCTCTTAACTCTCTTAAAAATCTTTTAAAATATTAACGAACTTAATTTCACCTGGTTTCCTTATGTATGCATTTCTTCATTGTATACCTTTTGTACATTTCCTGGTACTGCATCAGCACATTCAAAGTATCTTAACTTCTCCCAATTCTTTGTGAAAAACCTGTCCCATCATTCTTGAAAGAACGTGACCTTTAATCTTGGTCTGGCATTTCATTAATTTACTATTCTAAGTACGAAGGAACAAATGGGAAGAGAAGTGTATTATGTGTTATGGTGCAGTTTGGCTTACCTAGGGATGACAGATTAGCTAACTGAATTCATGAAAGATGAGAAAATGTAAAGAATTTGCCCTAGGCCACGGGAAATTTAAAGATGAGGTAAAGGAATCCCAGAAGGCAAACCACTAAACAAGCACCAATTGTAAAGTTGCCTGATTCTCATGATTCTTTCTTTCATGGTGAGGTATAGAGGAGGGATCACCTGGTGTCCTACTTTCCATCTGTATTCTGCTACTTTTGTGTACACAAAAGAATTAAAG